ATTTTCTATTTTATATTTATTATTAATATTTATTTTTAATAAAAGAACAAATAATTATTTAAAATTTAATTAAAAAATTAAAAATGTCTAATACAAGAAACTAGTTTTGATAAAACTTTTTATTCACGTGTTTTTAAAGACACTAATAGATTAAAAAAAAATGCTTTTTTAAGATTAGAAGATAAAGATCAGGAAATATTTTTAAATTTATCAGATCTTTATAATAAACATCTTATTAATGTTTATAATGAAAATATTCCTATGGAGGGATCTAATGAATATAATTTAAAAAAAGATTTTTATGATAGTATAAAAAAGAAATGTTGTGATAGAACTGATATTAGAAATTTTGAAAATGCAAGAGAAGAATATAAAGAAAAACTAAAATTTGTTAAAATAGAAACTGAGAATCAAGAAATTAAAAGTGAAAATCAACAAATGAAAAAGGAAAATCAAGAAATAAAGAAAGAGAATCAAGAAATAAAGTTGCTTTTGGAACGAGTTATGGCACAATTGCCAAATGGAAAATGATTAAGAGATGATGGAAATGATGATAATGAAAATAGTATTGAAAATAAAAAAACTAAAATTGATAATAATATTACAAAACTTGATTAATTAAATTATTAATATTAGAATTAAATTTATATAAATTTATTAATTTATTATTAATATTAGAAATATAATTTTTTTTTTATAAATGTAGTTGGAATAGTATGTATTTTTTTACAAGAATAATATGGAGATTCAAAAAAGGAATTCTTCTTATTTGAGTGTTGAAAAAATAAATGATTTTATTGAAAAAAATTTTGATTTTAATGTTTTAAACAGAGTGAGTTTTCACTAAATAAAAATTTTTAGCATTTATCATATATGTTTACGCTGTTATAAATATTTATCACTTGAGAATATCTATAATGAAATATATGATATTTGATATAATTTATCACTTGATATTATATTGAATTGATGTTATGATGAAATTATTATTTATTATTATTTTATTTTTTAGTTAATACCTAAAGTACGTGGTCATAAATTTGAATTGCAAATAGTACAATTTTTAAAAAATATTGGAAGTGGTAGAACTATTAGACAAACACCTGATAGAGAAATTGATATTGATGGTATATTTGAAAATGTACAGTTTGTAATGCAATTAAAATATCATATAGATACTAAAAATCATCCCGTAACTGTTGATGAAATTTACAAATTGTATGGTTCATATAATATACATCATAATAATAATAGTAATTATGTTGGTATTTTTGTAACCAATGGAAGATATACTACAAATGCTATAAATGAAGGTAATAGAGTTTTTTAATAAATTATTAATTTAAATATATACTAATTTAATTATTTTAATTTATAAAATATGGATTGGTAAGTTTAAAAAATTAATTATTGATAATATTAATTAAAAAAATTATTTATTAATATATTTATAATTTGTAGAAGCTAAATGTTGTAATGGTAAAATTTATTTAACTACATATAAAGATTTATATGATTTATTGATTAAATTAAATGATAAATCCATTAAGAATATTAATGATAATAACAGTATAACATTTGAAAATATTGATATTACTAATTTTTCTTTAAATTATTCTGATATTAGAATTAGTTGTGATCATGT